ACCTCTATTCCTATGGTACCACTTGCTTAGTATGCCCACTAAGCAGCTGAGCGAGCTCGGTGTTACCCAACTTGCCGTCCGTGCTGGATAACGTCCAGAAACTTATGTTCTATTGTTCACATGCCTACTCTTTTTGGCATTTAGACGTTTGGTTAAGTGTGTAATAATACTAACCTATAGATTCATGAAGCTAATTAATACTCTTAAAGCGGAAGCAATTCAGTTTCCTATTACATAAAAAAATACTTAACAAAATTAAGTTTGTCTGATAATCATCGGTAAAATGTCTTAATAAACTAAGTGATGAACTACTTATAAGTTAAGTGTGTTTGATAAATAAAATCTCACAGTCTGAATCAATTAAGTGGGACTGAATGTCCAGTTTAATTGTTATCCAAAAAATAAGAGATAAACCTACCACTTATCACTTATCACTGAACACTTATTTTTGTATTAGTTCTCTTCTTCTTTTATTTTTCCCCTTTTCCTCCCCTTTTTTGCTCTTAAAATGGTTTTATAAACTTAAATTATGAATATAAAACAACATCAAAGTTGCAAACTCAACTTGAACTAATTTTTATATATGAGTTTTGTTAAATAACAAGATATCTGTATATGTATATATACATATTACCTATTTTTTTGGATAAATTATCTACCGAGTGTAACATCTAATTTCTTTTTATATATGCAAATTTTTTTTTTCAAAATTATTATATATTTAGGAAAAATTAATAATTATTTTTTATTAAAAATAATTTATAATTTTAATATTAATCATATTAAAAATTAAATGAACATTCAGGCTTAAATGTTTAGATTCAGTCTTCATATTTCATACATCAGTCTTTCGACTTCAAATATCAAATTTAGACGTTTTTATCAAACAACATCAATTTAATCTTCAGACTTCAGTGTTAAGTGTTGATTATTCAAACTCAAACTTAAGTGATATAAAACGAAACCTTAGTTAGACTAGATTTTTTTTTAATGAAGGACGGTACCTGGCGGGTATCCCCTAATCTTATTAATATAAAAAAATAGGGTTCAACATTCAGTGCTTAAGATTTACGTAAAGTATGGACCGTCGTACAAAGATTTGCCAAAGAATCCCATGATGGTTCTAGTGCGTATTAAATGAAGAACTACTTTACGTAGATTTCTCTAATCATTCCATGACAGTTCAATTACTAACAGAAAAACAAGATAAAATTCCTAAACAAATCTTATCTATTATAAAAATTCCTAGCATATTCGACTCCGCAAGTAAGGAAAGAATTCTGATCAAGGACCAAAAGACCTTTCATAACATATGGTAGACTAGCAAAATCATGAAAAGTATTAGAGTTACCCAGGGCTACTTCTTGAGCCAAACTATCCATAACAGCATTCGCTTCCCTGTATATATGTGAGCTCGTGTATTTTCTTCTCTGTATTATCAAATAAATCTCCCTTATCTGAAGATAACTTCTCCATGGAATCACAACTTCCATGTTCAAAATATCATTAATCATTTTATTGTATGTTTGAACTACAACATAGCTCAAATTCGAATATTCACATTTTTGCAACCCAAATAAAACACCATAAATTTCTACAGTCAAGCTATCCTCACTTCCCAGGTATTCTGCCTCTCCATAAGTTAAAAAGAAAACAAAAACCCCTCTCCACCAATTAAAAATGCATATCCCGCATCATTATCCATCGAGCATCTATCAGCATTCAGAATATGAGAATTTGGAGCTGATAGAACCCAACTAACAATACAAACTCTTGTCCTCAATTTTTGACAGTTTCGAATATCAAAATTCTGTCTCAAAAAGTCATGTTATGAATCACTTCAAACTTTTAGGACGCGAATCATCGAAAGATCCAAAAATTGAGACATAGTAACCCCCTCGAAAATCACCTTATTTCTACCCTTTGTGAATTTCCATATCACAAATGAAGAAAGTACTTTCATCAATGGCCTTTTGCAGGTATGAAATTCCCCTGACTCCACCAAGCATCCAAAAGTTCCCATATACACCATACAAAACAACCTCGAAAAGCAATGTAAAATGATTCCATAATTCTCCAGCATGACCACATTTATAGAAGTAATGTTACTATCATTTTACATTTTACCCAAACCACAAATGGAAGGACAAACCTGAATTCCAAAAGTACTGAAAACTTTAGGGAAATGCAATAACTCATTCCTCAATTTCCACATGAAGTAAGAGATGTGCAATGGAATATCTCTTTGTAATTGTGCATCATGTAAAAATATTTATATTAGCTTTTCTTGAATAATAATTGTTTTTAGCCTATCATATTATATACTAAAATCCCTTTATATAACTGAAAATCTCAGTTCCAGGCAATTTGGAAAAAATCAAAGAGACATGCGTTGAAGAATTGGCTAAGATCACTTTTAACATATCCCTCTTAGTATATACAGCAAGTTATAAACCAAGCATGAAGCTTGTATTACACTTTTAGGAAGAACAAATTAATCATTGCTTTTATAAAATAATCGATAACCTCTTTTGCAAAATATAACAATATCCGGATGTAAAATAATTTGGTTAAAACTATTATAGCCACTCTTCTAGTGAACGATAGGAGAACTCACTTAGCAATCATTATAATCAACTGTATATGAACAAAACAAAAGAAAGTGAAATTAGATAATCCTCTATCTCTCAATAGATCAATTATATATATATATATATATATATATATATATATATATATATATATATAAAAGCTCCATACATAGTTGCCTTTCTACTCGGCCAAGTCTCAAAATTGGAGAGAGTTTTTTTTGTTCCTTTCTTGAACCTCTTTCTCATATATAAGTCTACTGTTGACAAGAGTTTCGATTTTGTGTCCTTGAATTTAATTTCAAGCAACATCAATGATAGCAATCAAAGTGGATTAATCTACAAAGGCGCATGGGAAGTTGTATAGGAAGATGTTATAGATGCAGTGATTGAATTTTTTTAGACTGGGAGGATGATAAGGCAGATCAACTCAACTCTTCTGGCCTTAATCCCAAAAAATGACCAGCCTCAAAATGCCTCTGAGTAGAGGCCTATTGCATATTGTAACGTAATATATACAAATGAATATCAAAGATCATATATGAAAAGCTGAAAATAGTGTTACCTGACTTAATAGCGGAGAACCAGAGTACATTTGTAAGCAAAAGGTTAATTTTCCACAATATACTGCTTACGCAGGAACTGATTTGCCTCTATGGAAGAAAGAAAACATTAGTGGGAGGTGTATGATGAAGATTTATTTAAAGAAGGCCTATGACTCGGTGGAATATATAACCTCAACTTCATTCACTATAAACTTGAATGGTGAAAACTGTGGATTCTTTAAGGGTCAGAGAGGTTTAAGGCAGGGAGATCCGATGTCTCCACTGATTTTCTTGATGATCATGGAATATCTCACCCGATTGATGAAGGAAGTAGCTGATGATAAAAAATTTCAGTTTCACCCACAATGTAAGATTCTGAAACTTACCCATATTTGTTTTGCTTACGATTTGATTTTGTAAGGCAGATGACTACACTGTAAAGAAGGTTGTGGAAATTCTTGATAAATTCTCTGCTAGTATTGGATTGGTGGCTAACCCTGTTAAATCTGATATGTTTTTTGATGGGGTAAGGGATGAAGTAAAGTAGAAACTATGTGAGATTTTAGAGCCGGGAAATTCCCAATGAGGTATTTGGGGGTCCCTCTCTCCCCAAGGAAGTGGAACCAGATTGAGTGTGATGTTCTGATCCAGAAGATGAGTGCAAAGATTAAATACTGGAGTTCAAAGAATTTAAGCTACGCAGGAAGGTTGCAGCTGATTAACTCAGTGTTTACGTCAATAAATAATTTTTGGGCTCAGGAACTTATTTTGCCTCAGAGTGTTACAAAGCAGATCAATAGAATTTGCAGGATACTTCTATGGGGCAGTAAAGATGATGGAGCAAAAATGCCATTGGTAAGCTGGGACAGAGTTTTAGGAGTAAGAAGGAGGGTAGTTTAAATGTTAGAGATGCTCAAATATGGAATCAGGCAGCTATTATGAAACAAATGTGGAGCCTTGCTCAGAAAGAAGACAATTTGTAGGTGAAGTGGTCAATGGAAGATACATAAAGAAGAAAAAATTTTGGGACTTATAGCGAATGCAAGATGCAAGTTGGCAGTGGAAACAAATAAAGAAGCTGAAAGACAAACTGAAGAATGAAGTAATAGGGGGAGGATGGCATACCAGCTCAGGTAAATATAGCATCTCTTTTGGTTATGTCTTATGGGAGAATGTCATAGAATTGTGGTTGCACAGTTAATGGTCAAAATATAATGTTCCTAAACATAGCTTTATTGCTTGGTTATTTTGGAAAGAAAGACTACTTACCAAAGACATGTTAGTAAAACTCAACCTGTAAAATGGGGATGTAGGTTGTGTGCTGTGTACACATACACCAGAAACTTTAGAGCATTTATATTTTGACTGTCCATATGCAAAAAAATCTGGTTGGGGTAGCATAACTTATCATGTCAACAGAGGGAGTGGAGAAGAAGGATTATGATATGCTGGAAAAATGCTTGTGTTAAGAGAAATGTATTGATTGCTTTAATGGCTGCTCTGATATATCATATGGGAAGAAAGAAACCTGAAAATATTTAGGGATCAAAACAGGAACAAAGAAGCAGTCACAAGCAATATCAAACCGGAGGTAAAATGGAGAATGGAGCATTTTATGGGAGGTAACAAGGCTGGTCAGGCAACAACAATTTTATCTCAGTTATTTAGATTTTGTGATGTATAGTTAGCAGTAGAAAAAGTAGATGTTTGGTTGTAAATATGTACGCAATGAGTTCAATCATTAAGATATTTTTAGGTTTACCCCCTCCCCCCCCCAAAAAAAATACCGTAGATTAGATATATCTACGTACCAATTTAATCGTTTAGTTGCACTTATAAGTCGGGACTTAGAAAAATAGAAAAAATAATTATAATACGAATTGAAATTCAGCCTAAAGTTGAAGGACTACACTTGAAAAGTCTGCTTTCGAATTCGCAGGTTGTTGGGTCCACCGCACTCCACAGTCCAAAACTCCTTTGGAACCCATCTCTCTCCTCCGCGATCGCTTCTAGTTCGGCACATTTTGAGCACCCCTCTCGTTCGATCGGAGCACTAATTCTCCACTTCCGGTAAGAAATCTCCTACCAAATACTTATAAATTGTAAAATTGAGGCAATAGTGCTGAGAAATCGGAATTAACTCCTAGAATTTGCGTCTACTATTTGGGGATCACATGGCAAACCCCTCAATTTAGTTAATTTCTTTTCGTGTGTTGTTTTCTCCCCCCTGGAATGATTAATTCTTTGTAGTCAAACTGGCTGGTGTTTATGCACAGCTAATGGTGGTTTAATTTTTTATTTGAAAATCATAGTGATTGTTGTTATTTTGTCTCGTTAGATTGTTGGGCTTTTTGCTGATCTCAAGTTGCGCTTTTATTGATTTGCAGGTTTTTCTTGATTCCAAGGTTTTTGCTTAGGGTTTGGGTTTCTGAACTTTGAGCAGCATGGTAATTCTACCGGTTTTTGGGGTTTCATATTTGCTTTGGTTTAATTATAAGAAAGATATTGGTTGATGCTTTACTTTCTTTTCTTTCTTTTTTTTTTTCCCTTCTTTTATTCCCTCCCAAACTTGTAGAATTATTTAATTGGAGCATTCAAGCCGGCTTGCCACATTGCGGTTACATTTTCAGATGGGAAAACTCGTAAGCAGGTACTGTCATTGTTTGTCTTCTGTTTAAATTCAAGCCCTTTTATGAGACAATGAGTCCTGCCACAATTTGGTGGTTCTTCTGATATTCCTGTTTCCAATGTGTATGTGATCAGGTTCCGTTAAAGAAAGAAAATGGCCAAGTTGTAATGGTTCCTCTCTTTCACAGCCAGGAAAACATTGCTGGAAAGGTATGGAGATGTATTTCTATAAACCCTTTCCTTACTTGCATGTTGTATACCTACAAAATTTGCTCTAAAGATTTTACATCTTTTGTACATGTTCAGATTTCAATTGAACCTGTGTCTGGGAAAAAAGTTGAACACAATGGAATAAAAGTAGAACTTCTTGGGCAGATAGGTGAGGTTTGAATCTAGTTTCCTTTCGAATGTGTAAAGCGAGGTTATAGAGATTCTTTACTCTTGTTCAACTGCAATATCTAATTTGAGTCGACACTCATTCTAAACACTCGTTTATTTCTTCTTGAGCTAAGAAACTAATTGTAATGAGGATTATTTTTGCTTGCAGAAATGTACTTTGACAGGAACAACTTCTATGATTTTACCTCCCTGGGTAAGTTTAATATGCATTCGTATTTCTATAATTTATTTTGATGAATGTCCCTGATTCAACTTCTTTAGTTTGCTGATAATGTTCAACAGATGAGTGATGAATCAGATATCAATGAATTATCCAATTTGATTTTGTTTTAGTGCACACTAGATTGACTTTTCTTTCATATTTATACCATGTTTTTCTGTTTTTCTTGTAGTTCGGGAATTGGATGTTCCTGGTGAGATATACGAGCGAAAGACATATCCATTTGAGTTTTCAACAGTTGAAATGCCATACGAGACTTATAATGGTGTTAACGTACGACTTAGGCAAGTTTATTCGTATTGCTTTAATTTCCTGTGCAAATTAGTGCCTATTGAGACACATTTGTTTTCTAGTAGCTATAAGATGGTGAATGTTACTCAGAATTTGCTTTAGCTGCATCATTTTTTACGTGATTGATGCCTTTTCGTTTACTGAGAATGGGTTTATTTTACATACCTATAACTCAGGAAATGTCAGGGTTCAATTAATCATATGTAGCAGTGGATATGTTGGTAGTCTGTCTATTGAATTAAAGTCTCAGTTGATAAAAAAATTGGCCAAGCTCTAAGTTGCTTGAAGTATTGTGTGTCTTGTGCTGTTCCTGCACTCACAAATATTTTTTCTAAGGCTATCTTTTGCTATTGGCTGTCAGATGTTATTGCTGTTGCTTTCTTCTCGTTTAGTTCTTGTTATGGTTGTCATAGTTTTTTCCATCTCATTTGAATTGAGTGTGATACATCTTTGTTGGATCTGCAGACTTGTTGTCCTGTAGTTATTTCTTTGTCAGGAACAAAAGAAAGTGTAGAATTTAACTGCCTAAAATCCAATTTATTAGGAGAAGAAATTACTTATATTTGTGGTTACTGATATCCCTGATCACTAAGTTTCCATGGAGCTGCTTCTTTTTCCTCCTGAGTCGTGCTGTTTTATGTTTAGTAGTTAATGTGAAATTCATAGCACTCAATATGGATTGCGAACTATATAAGCGAAAAAGTCTATAATGCTAAAAGCTTCAGAAATACCTTCCTTGTTTTTTTTTTTAATGAACCCACACAAGTCAAAAAATGAGAATCTGTGTGATTAAATGGGAATCTAACCAGCTTGGCCTAGTCTGGAACTGTCTGTGGTAGAATATGGGAAGGCTGCATATGTCTGGCCAATGGGCCTGCCCTCCTTGGATCTGGCTTATGTTGATTCTTTCTTGCACCGCCAGGGTATTCTTTTATCAGTTCGACTTAGTCTTCATTTACAGCTGATCTATGGTCTGCTGGTCAACTTTATGTGCCTAATTCTCACATTTATATGTTAAGCAAAGGCATCCAAGTGAAGGAAATTGATTTTGTATGAGTGAAATGCTGGAAGAAGAGGATGTTCATCCTTTGTATATCAGACATAACTTATGGTACAAATGGATGATACAAAATTTGAAGACTGAATGGGGAAAACTGGATGTTTGTATTTGAATACCGTATTCCTGTGTTCTGTTGACATCTTATGTCACGAGAACCAATTTGCATAACTCTCTGCCTTTTTCATGAGGCCCTTTCCATCTTCTGATTAGTCCAGGATAGCAAAAGAGAAAGAGGTTACTGATAAGATTATTCCCTGCCCCATTGAAATTTCCAATTTCTTAGAATTCTTATTGATGGGAACAGAGGACTGAATTTGGACGCAAGCGAAATAGGCGAACCCTAGCTGTAGGGATTTAAGAAAGCAGTGTCTTTCAAAGCTTAAAAGCTCAAATTTGTATAAATCAGAAATAACATTAATAATAAAGCTGCAGAACTTCTCTATTTGTAGAAAGATTCTGTTTATTCCCAGTACTAGTAGGTTTACTAATTTCCTAAAACTTAGGACTAAAACTGACATTTATATAAAATACTGAATAAAAAGGAAATTACGTATACCAATTTAATGTTAAAACTATTTCTCAATCTTCCTGCGTCACTTAGTTGTTAAGATGGCTGTTTCATTTGTTTAATTGAGGTCAACCTGGTTGTCTACTTTGTGTTAATTTCTCTTGTTGATAAGTCTTGAGTGAACTTGGTGCGTGACTTTGAGCCTATTTCTTGTTCTTTTCAGATATGTTCTCAAAGTGACTATAAGTCGGGGATATGCTGGTAGCATTGTGGAGTATCAAGATTTTGTGGTAATTCATGTTTCTCCTAATCAATTCCATAACTTTTTAAAATTGTAGGTTACACCTCCTTTATTTTCCTATCTTAAACACCTCCTTTATTTTCCTATCTTAAACAGTCTAACTACAATCTTGCAAGGTTTGTAGAAAGAATCTCCAAGATATTTTTGTTAACAAGAAAAGATGTGTTTGATATACAGTTATGTTTGGATTCTTGTCGTTTGAAGATGCTAGATTTTTTATGCATTCTTATTTTCATCGCGATGAAACCCGTCTGTTGGCAATTTCAATGCTTTTCGCATTCGATTCCAAGAATAATTGAACACAATTATCTATTGTTTAAATTTCAAAATGGTCTCTGCTTAATTTACATTTTGATGAAATGCAATAGCATATAACATGAACAGTTTGCTATCGCAGTTGCTTATTGTAGTTGCTTGTGATCGCTGGAGCTAAGGTTGTTGTAGACGTTGAGAGTCCTTAACCCTAGGTTTCACCAAATGTGAAAATATGGAAAATGAAGTTGTTAGAATAACACATGCTGTGATTACGCTTAATTGCAGTTAGAGTTTCTTAAAGTTAAAAAATTATCCCCTTAACGAAGAGATGATTATTATTAACTTCACTCTGAAGAGGCTCATGAATCCTACTTAAACCTGTTCTCTGGTGGTGTGAAATAACAGTTGCAGCATAATTGGAGTGAAGTAGAAGTTAATGGATTCCTGAAGGAGTTGAGATTAAAGTTTAAAATTCAAATGGGATGATGCATGTTGAAATTTGCATGCTTAGAAATTTTGAAAGAAAAAAAAATTTGTACTTATATCTAATGATGAGGAGAGCATTTACCAGAGTTCAAGAAACCTGCTTGATTTTGATGCAGGTTGTCTGATATTGGATAGGGGGAATAACAATTGTTACACAATTGATAGGCGTATATTTTTTTGTTGCTAATATTAATATCGTAAGAAAAATGCAAGTTCGCAAACTATGCATATTATCGTCAACCGACTAAGTATGTCCATTGACCGCCAAACTATTTTAGTTTAGTTACTTTAAGAAATATAGGGGTGAGGCTGTGTACATCTTCACCCCGAAGACCCTAACAATGTTGTGCTTTGATAAATTATGAATTTTATTAAGTATATTCAAAGCCAAGAAGATTTTGAAGTTCCAGTTGCTACACGAAAACTGTTGGATACACGTCCATTAACGCACTTACGCACTCGTAGGTGAATCCGAAAACGAATATCCCAAGCAAGTAGAAAACCAAGTCCGGCTGAGTTCATGGTGTTTGCACGTAGTTCCTTTAAACAGATTCTTTGATGATTTCAGAATAGAAACTTCAGTAGTGCTGGGAAGAAATATAAATTTCAAAAGGATTACACTGCAAAGTTTTACGATGTATCCATTGTTGGTAAAACTCATCACTGGTTCATGGCAAGCTGTTTTGGAAGTATGAAGCTAATATTGTTAAATGAAAAGAGATGTGAATAAACATTGAAGTGTGGAGGAGACTCGTGCAAATTAGTGAGGGAATGAAATACTGGCTTTTCAGATGGTTTTTACAAGCAAGCAAAACCTGTGTAATAAAATAGCTTTCGCTGCTTTTGTTAATAACCAGCGTAATCAACTTAATAGGAGTACTTGTTATCTTTGTGGCAACCAAGACATGGTTATAATTTTTCATATTGTACGGTTAATTTTGTTGAAGTTCTGAAGAATAGTTATTCAGAAAAGTAAACTCTAGGGTTTTCAATAGCGATGCTAGCATGTCCGCAGTGATTTTACTTAAAGAGAATGCTAATGTCAGGATTTTATGAGTGTATATTCTTAAAGATCATACAAAAAAGAATCCAATATCGCTGTGCTAGAAACCCTTCTAGAAGCAGTTGGGATGAAGTTTCAGCATATATAGATGAAGTTCAAGTGATTGACCCACTGTGTATTTGAGAGAAAAACCTGACATTCTGTCAGCTGGTTATAGCAGTTGAAGGTCGTGATATTGTAACCACAGTGCTGTTAGTAAAATGTCTTCAATACTGTGGATTCAGCTGGCAAGGAGTAGTTGAACTTCCCAGGAATATGTTTATCATCTTGAGCTGGGATGGGATTGTAGCTTCTGTTGCTTCTTAATTTTTGGTTCATTTTCCGTGTGCTGCATTGATGTAGTTGGGATGATGTCATACCAATTGATAGCCAGATTTCATTAGGCTGTCTTTCATTGTATCATTCTGATATATATCAGAACTTTTATGCCTTTTAACACCTGTGCCTGTTGCTTCATGAAGAATGTTTCTTGTTTACTTTGTAACATATAAGATAGGAAAGTGCTGGAAGATCTTTACCGTTAGCTATTCTTTGTGGGCAACCTAAAAACATAATGAAAGAAACTGAGTAAATCCCTGCTTTTGAATTCAACAGCTGAAAGATAGATAAAAAAAGTACATTTTTCCTGTTATTGTGAAATTCTAAAATTTCTGGTACTGGAGAAACAGGGAAGATGTTGCGGTGCAAAACTTTAGATAATTCCAACATCTTCCTGGGACAGAAGCTACATTTCCTCACATATTATTCTGGTTAGAAAAGTTGGAAAATTTTTGCAGCAGATTAGGGTAAACTGCTTACAAGTATCAGTTGTACTTCTCTTTTAGTAGTGGAAATCATTTAGCAATGCAGTGTCAACCCCTTTGATATGGATAATCTATTATCTGTACTCTAGATTATGCAGCAGGAAATCTAATAACTTTTTTTTTTTTTAACCAAAGATTGCAATTTCCTCCTATTTGATATCTTGTGTTATTTGGTTTACTTTTACATTTTTAAGTAGTAAGTCACAGATAGATTTGTTTTAGGTCTTATAGATCTTCTCTATTTGTTTTCCAAAGGGTGATACTCCGTGTTTACATATGTCATTGGTAAGAAGCCTTGTGTTAAGTCTTGACTTAGTGCAGGCATTTTATTCTTCTCCAATCAAGGGTCTAAATTTTGATTTGTTGCCCTTGCAGAAGCTTTGTGCTGCTTTCACTCTGCATCAATATCTTTCTTTCAATGTTTCTTTTTTGTATTGTGACGTCAGTAGCGGAACTTGACTATAAGAATACATTATTTGCTTCACCATAACAGAGATCTATTAGCATCATGCATGTTATAGCTCTAATACGTGTTTGATTTTGTCCTCGTCTGGTCATTAGGTCTTGGTGGGTTATGCATCTATTTTCGCTGACTATGATTTTCACGCTGCAGGTCCGCAACTACAGTCCACCTCCACCAATCAACAATAGTATTAAGGTAGGATTCTCTCGAGCTTTTTAGTTGAATTGTTAAAAACTTTTACAGATTGATTTAATAAGGTGGAACCGACTGAAACTTAATTGTGCTTGTAGTGTTCTTACTTTTAAGAGTTAAACGACTCTTAGTTTGCTATGATCATGATCTGGTTACCTCTGTTCGTTGTGTATTTTGGTTGTTTAAATTTCAGGTCTGGGAATGTATTGGGTTGAAATAATTTGTAATGTCAAGATGAACAAGGATAATTGGATTAAAGAGTGTATTTTGTTGCTTTTTGTCTGTTTACTTCCAACACAAATTAGAATGGTCCGGGGGTTAAAGCCTTATCCATATATGTATATAATGCTGGTTAACAATTTGAGCTGACTAAGAAGGTTTTTAACTTCATGTTTTCGCCATCGGCAATCAGCAGAGAAGTTCTTTTTGTACAAATGGTCTGTCTCTGTTTCTGATTGATTCAGACAAAAGGTTCCTTTCAGCTGCTTCTCTTTCCTTCCTCTGTTTTATTGTGCCTGACATTTAATTCACTGAAGAGAATTATTATCTGGACATGCTTCCCAACTTCAAGTCCATCAATTCATGAAATTAGGACGCAATTTGTTTCGCAAAGCTAATACATTCTGTGTGTACCATATTAAATGTTTTCTTTTGGATGGCAGATGGAAGTTGGAATTGAAGATTGCCTTCACATTGAGTTTGAGTACAACAAGAGCAAGTAAGTTATATCGTTCTCCTTCAGATTTACTCCTGGAGGTCTTGTTGGGATGATTCTCATTTAGGTTATGTCTCAGTGAAGGAGAAGAGCCAATATGTCTGTGTTAACGCAAGTACAGTTTTTCCTCTTGTGTGTGTTTTCAGTTTTTTTAAATTTTTTCCTTCTTTTGGGTAAGGGTGTTCCATTGGTAGTAAAGGTCTTATCATGACAAGGAGTCTTTTAAAAATCCGTGCATTGAAGCTTCTCGTTGGAATATTTAATGGATTTTGTTACAGAGAAATCTACTAAATTAGGATCTGATTCTCAGCTTTTATAGTTGTGCTTAGCTAGTATATAACTATATTTGTAGTTTTTCTGTTCATCACTGTGTTTATCGAGATCTTGCATTTCTTCATGTTATGCATATACTTAATCCTGTTCGACAAAAATGCAGGTATCATCTTAAAGATGTTATTATTGGAAAGATATATTTTCTTCTTGTGAGAATCAAGATTAAAAATATGGATTTGGAGATCAGACGCCGGGAATCAACTGGATCAGGTCCCAACACTCATGTGGAGACAGAGACGCTCGCAAAGTTTGAATTGATGGATGGTGCTCCCGTAAGAGGTAGGAGTCTTAAGTACATTTTCTTCCCTGCAGACTATTCTTCCATTTTGGTTTTCCTTTTTTCCTTTTGAATTTTTTATTAGCGTTTAGTGGTTTCAGTCAAATTTGTATCAGTTTCTTGGTTTTGGTTTTGCACTCTTTACTAATAATGTTTCTCCAGGTTAGAAGGAATCTAAGTCTTTTTGCTCTTACATATACCTCTTAGTTAAAAAATAGTTTAAATAGATAGAATCTGAGAATAAGAGAACCGTTCATGTTTGCTGTCTGATTACTAAAAGTTGTTTAAGTTTGATCATTGAAGCTGTTTATTGTTGTACCTCATTCAGGTGAATCTATTCCAATCAGACTTTTCCTAAGTCCATATGAACTGACACCAACCTACCGTAACATCAACAACAAATTCAGTGTGAAATACTACTTAAATCTCGTGCTAGTTGATGAAGAGGACAGGCGGTACTTTAAACAGCAGGAAGTCACGATATACCGTGCGGAATCATCTTAATACAGCATCATTCTGGTATTTATTGATGTTTTAGTGGAGTTGTATGCTTTATGAAGCTTAGGTATATGTGAACTAATCGCACAATATGCAGACTCTTGTCATCGATGGCTGAAAGAATATTGTAGTTGGTTGAACATGCTTTCAGTTTTTAGTTTTCTTGCAAATGTATAGACCAATCATGTTATGTACATCGGAAGCTCAAGTCGGAAGCCATGGTTTCAACCTTTATTGAAGATTGGGTGGATAAATCGGGATATTAGAGAGCAACCATTTCCTTGTGCTGGTGCTTGTCTGGGATTTCTTTTTTCCTTCACTTTTCGTCTTAGATAGTGAAATATTACCTCCTTCGGCTTGTTAGTTGTATTGATGTTTGAACTTGAGATCTTTATTGTGAACCTTCTCGACGCTGACCTCGTTTGAACATCGCCATGTTGAAGTGATCTTGTAATTATATTTTCTTGAATATTTATTTGCCTTTCCTTTACGGTGCATTCGGTGTATTACGACTATTGACTTTATGAAATCTCACTGAAAAATAACTAATCAAACGAAAATTGGAAATACTACATTATCGTTTTCAGATTGAAGCTTTTTAGCACTAAACCTATTTGGGGTTCAATGTCAAAGATGATTTCATTAATGGAGGTTAGAAAACTAGACAAGAAAGAGAATATGAAAAAAAAAAAAAACAAATAAAATTAAACAAACACCTTTACGCTAGGCACAAATGTTGTGAAATCTTTGATCCTCAGACTTCAGAGTTCAGAGATTGGGAGAGGAGTAGAAACATAATTACATTCATAAACCAAATATACTAATAGGCAGTAGCATGAGCTAAAATAAAAAAAAATATTACTCCCCTGTCCTTAAGGCATCATCAAAAAATGATTGTAAATTTCTAATAGACATGATGCTTTTCAATTTTTGATATTAATTTTGTCCTTAAGGCATCATCAAAAAATGATTGTAAATTTCTAATAGACATGATGCTTTTCAATTTTTGATATTAATTTTTTCGATAAGAAAGATTAAATTATTAATTTATAGATTTTAATTTTCTGAATTAGAGTATTTTTCTAGAGAAAGAGTATAACATTAAAACTATCATAAGTTTAAAAATAGAATAAAAGAACTAGGGATGTTCCACAAAGATTGCGAGGACGGGTTAATAGCATTTGATCAGCAGCTTATCAGCTGATTATCAACATTATTATACCGGTCATCAGATTGTTAATTTATGCAACTCATGTAATACTCTCTCTACTCGAAAAAAAAAATAGTTTATATCGAATTTTGAGATTTACAGTAAACATAGTAAAATTTTCAACTCAATGTATATTAATATTTTTTTATTAGGACGAATGGAGTATTTCTATTTATGTTTTTTTTTTGGTAAAAGGTAAACATTTTATTGCTTGTTCAAAACTGCCAATTTGTACATCAGATCTCACCTTATAGTACTTCTATTACATCTCTCTCTGTACTACAATTTTAGGAACAAAGTTGATCTATCAAACATCTTTCTGCAACTATACACTGCTGATCATAACAAAACAGCAATCTAACACTAACTTCCTTGTTAATAATGTTGATGCATTCCTTTGCTTTCCTTCGCTGCCCATTGAACACTGTAGCATTTCTCCCTGCCAAATCTAGTATATACTGGCAGCAACAACAGCAGCCAACAGTTTCTTCTTCAGTTTAGCATGTTGCCAAACAAAGTTCATCTCTCTTCTCCACCTTCCATCTCTTATGGTAAATGTTCTGAGCCCTAGCCAACTCTTCATCCCTTCAATGGTCTCAGTTGAAAACATACATTCAAAGAACAAATGCCTGATGCTTTCTAACTCCTCGTTACATAAGCAGCAATAAGGATCATTCACAGGTACATTACAACGTAGAAGTCTGCCTTTGGTCCATATCCTTTCTTTACAGCACAACCAGGCCATGAATGAATGCTAAGTTACATTCATTCTGGACCAAATCCATTTGGCAGCAACCATTTTATCCATATGCCTTTTCAAACAGTCATACCCTTCAGCCACCCTGTATCTTCCTGTGGAGTTCAGTTTCCACCTGTTATTTTCAAACCAATTCAGTGCTTTATCTCGCAACTTTAGCAGTTGTTTCCAGTGCCAGTAGCTGTCTGTCTTTGTCACCACAGTCTATATGCTTTGCTTTTTTAAGTACAGCTCGTGTGTCCATTTAACCCACAAGTTGTCTTTTTTTTCTGAACTAGCCACCAGAGTTGCTTCAGGATAGCGGCATCATTCCAGATTCGAGCATCTTTCATTCCAAGCCCCTCTTCCTGCTTCCTGCAATACACTACATCCCAACCAACCAAAGATACACTCCTCCCTGTCTCTTTTACACCCCATAAGAATTCCCTGCAGTATCTGTTAACCCTTTCAGTGATCTTTCTAGGTAAGATAAAAGCAGAGGCCCAAAACACAGGAAGATGGGTTAATACAGAATTAATCAACTGCAGTCTGGAAGCATAGGAAAGCTTTCTAGTACTCCAACACTTTATTCTTCCTATTATTTTATCAACCAGATTCTGGCATTCCATCTCATTCCATTTCCTGGGGGATACAGGCACACCAAGGTATTTCATAGGAAAACTACCCTCCTGAAATCCCGTAATTTCATCTATCCTACTTCTCAACCAATCAGGAACAACACCATAGAAGATATTCGACTTTTCTGTATTTGCTCTAAGGCCCTGTCCTCAGCGAAACATATATTAGTCAATTACTATCCATTGACACATTTGATTTAATAAATAATAATGCACATCAATGAGCTTTGGAACTGTGAAGCACATTAAATGTTTATTGTCTTTTCCACACATGACGTACGATTAAATAATTTCAACGTTATTACCGTTGCACTTGAAAAATGGTCAAAGACTAGCTCTGTAATACGAAAGTGGCAAATATAGTTGATCCCAAATTTTTTTTTTTTTTTTGAGGTAAAACTTAGTAATTCATTCATGCGGAGATCTAGTTAAAAGAACACTTTTATTAACTTATTATGCGATTCTTTCACTATATCTCTTGTTCCCTCTTCCAGTCGTTATTATAAAGTATTTTAATTTGTCTTAAGTTTTATCTAATATGATATTTTAATTGAAAATAAAATATTAAAAATATATTTTCACATTTGTTACAATTCTCTCAATTATTATAAAATATATTTAAAATTTTACTTTTAATTAAAAAATATGACATATAAAATTTAGAATAAATCAAAATGTATTGTGATAAAGACTCATGAAATACAACTTTTATAATAGCAACGTGTCCATAGTTGTTATTAGGTTCCTAACACCCTCTATTAGCAGAGATTTGTGTTGGGCAGACTCTTCTTTGCATGATGAAATCCACCTCATTTTGGCTGTTATTTTCTACTAGTTGACAGTCCTGATATCTTTTGAGAAAAAAGAAAAAAAAAAAAGGTACACTTAAACCTTTTAGGTTTTTTAAAATACAAGTCTTTTTCACTTAAGGATAAACATTTCATTAAAAAGACGAGACACTTATTTTAAATTAACCAAGCATGTAATAATTTCTGAATTTGTATACAAGCCTCACTTAGTGTGGGTGATGTATGAAGATTTAACAGTAAACTTTTTGAAGTTTCTATCTCCTTTTGGCTTTTGCAGAAATACACTTTTTGTCCATGCGGAAATACAATTAGACATCTTTTGCAATGATTCACCAATAAGTCTTATCATGTCTGAAATAATCGATCTATACAGCTACCGGTTCAATGTGTTAATTTTAGTGGTTTTCGTTTCTGCTCTTTTTACTTAAAAGGAGAAAAAAATGAATAAGGCGTACGTTCAAAACGAAACACGGTCAAGCTTTTAATCATCTCGATTCCTGCACATTGTTCAGCTACCAATTGAACACTATTATTTCTTCGCACATTCCAACGAGGATGTTTTCTCACTTTGTCAAGTACAAACAACAGACAATCGACTACTTCTTTACACTGTACTCCATCCATTCTAAAATAAGTATCGTTTTAGCAAAATAGAGAAATTCTAAAATAGGTGTCGTTTTTACATTTCAATACACTTTTTGTCAAAAGTTTCCAAAATTACCCTCAAAAGAGTTGATACTATTAATGGACAATTTTATAATGGGGTTGGTTGAGAATATTCAAGTAATTTTATTACCCTATTTAAGAGTTTTTTAAACTATATGCAAAGTGTAGGACGACACTTATTTTGGAATGGAGGGAGTACCAATATTAATTATTAAAACCTAAAATTAAACTAACCATTACACGGGGTGATAATAATAAACAAAACAATGTATCAACACAATCGAAGATTTGTTTATCGTACATTCCATTCGGAGAAACCTCATGAACATTTACGTCTTATTGATATAAACACATGTAATATTTACCTGAATAATCTAGTGAGTAGGTTTTCTTGGAACTCAAGTGTTTCAACTAACAATTAAAGGGAAGAATTAAATGAAAAAACATTCTTGCGATAAGCTGCTTATGCATTGTAGAACTAGTGACCATGGAATGCAACTTTGTTTAGTTGTGTCACTGTATATCCTCGTATTTTACTATACAGTATCGCCGCAACAATTTTCAACTATCTTAATGAATTACTATTTCCATTTATTTTTATTTATCGTTTTAGGGTTTGTACAACTATTAAAGAAACAATGATTGAGATTTTAATTTTTAACTGTATTGTCTTTCTAATGAATTACTACCTTCATTTACTTTTATCTGTCGCTTTAGAGTTTACGCTATTAAGAAAATAATGATTGAGACTTTAATTTTTCAATGTATTGTCGTTCTTGCTCTTAATTAGATGTATTGAAACTCTATAAAAATTTAAAATTAGAGTATAAAAATAGGTTGCTGTCATTAATATATATTATTACAAGTACAAAGATAAAGTGAAATTGAAAACTTTTATATTTAATGATGCATTGGAAATGAAGCACGACATATAAAAGTATAAATGGAGATAAAAACAAAGAGGTAGTATGATGAAGTTTCTTCATGATGGTATCCAATTTAGAGAGTGTAAACTACGGCAAAAACATATCAACAAAGCACATCCAAAGACAAATTTTCATTTTTTTCCCACATTTACACTAAAAAAAAAAGAGATATCAGTCCAAACAACAAATTAATAATTACTTACAACATTCGAGTAACTCGTATTATATAGCAAGAGTCTAAATAACTTCAGAAAAAAAAATCAAATTATTACAGTTACAAATCCACACCTTAGAGAAGTTAAATCTCAAAGAACAATACATACCGGCAAATTATGAATGCACCAAATAAACCATAAATTAACATGCGAGTTTCTTAATTTGCAATACCTTGATCGAATACTCTTCTTCTTTTAGTCCTACATTCTCCAGAACCGTAATTTGATCGTTGAACAAGTGACTTCAACGCATTTCTCAACGATATTGGAATTGATTCATCAATTATATCATGATGATCTTTATCTGCAGATAAGATAATCACATTCTTTATCCTCCCACCCAATGTGATCATTTCGGCCCTCAAGGGGCTTAAATGTAGTGATTTGAGCGTCTCGATTAATTCCGGCAAGAGATCCGACCGGTCCTCGCAACATAAAGAGGCCTTGATAAGTAGCCTTCTTCCTCCATCATCTGCGCTAGAATCATCAATACTTGATATCTGCACTGAGATTTCATCGCTTTCTGCAGGGAAACTTTCGAGTTCGAGTTGGGATAGAGTTTCTGAGGTCTTTTGTTTCAGATCCCTCACTCTTTGAACAACTTTAGCAAGCAATGAAGCTTTATCAGTCTGCAAAGAAAAGAAAAGAAAGGAAAAAACTTAGCCCAAAAACCAAAAAATGAGGGGAAATTATTTGGAATGAAAAACCCTAATTCTTTTTTAAAAGCTAAAGCACTTTCCCAAACATATGAATGAATATGATAGACTGCCTCTCAGAGATTCTCTTCTTTTCACAATTTTTGTCCTCTGAATTATGGATATTCCAAAGGAATTAACCTTTTCCTTTACAGAAAGTTCTGAAAATTAAGGGAATCCAAAATCACTTGACAACAGACTAGCTGTCGGAAAACAGTACCATCTTAGATATGTATCTACGAGAATCCCAATCTGAAATCTTCACAAAAGTTAATTGGCAAAGTTTACAGAAAAAAAAAAAAAGAAGTCCACGAAAAAGACCCATGGACTTTCTGGTCCATATATGTTTATAAAGTTCCTTCATGCTATAATCCATGATTTTGCAAATCAAAACAACAAAATTTCTGGAAAAAAAATTTAAATGAATCAACTAAATGAGATATAGATGATGGACAGGAATGATAACATATAAACAAAAAGTTTCTATCAATGCCCTTTTCTAAATTTTTTCTTCCTATCAAATCAAAAAAATCACTCCCTTTCATCTCAAAAAACTAGTATATTTGGTAACCCAAAAAAAATACCCTAATTATATCTGTTAAAAGAGTTTAAACTTTCCTAAAAAAAAAAAAAAAACCTCTATATTGTAAACATCACACAAAATGAAAGAGGGTTTTCGCAGAATGTACTTTGGAATTACAGGACAGGATGGTTCTGAGCCTATCAAGATGAGAGTTGATTCTTTCTCTCCGTCTTCTCTCCGCCTCTTTATGCTGCTGAGAAGCCGCAAAAGCTTTAGCTTCAGGACTAGTACTAAAGTCATCCGTGATGCCAGAAATCACATCCATGGAGAAAAAAGAAGAAGAATTACAACTGCCCGGATGAACCACCGGCGGGAAATCATAATTTGGTGTTCCGGCGGCCAAATAGCGGTGGAGGTCAAGGCTTTCCGACATGTTTTGTGGCTGCATGCTTATCTTTATGGTGGTAGGGAAATATAACTAAGCAAAAAAATTTTTAAAAAAAAGGGATAAAAAGAAACACTTTCGGTGGGAAATGGGAAATGATGAATGGGGAGAATGAAAAGAAAAGGGATAGAATGGAATGGAGTGGAATGGAAATGATGATTGTCTAGGGTTTGGTGCGACTTTTTAGCTTCATTCTTTTTGGTCGTTTCTTGGCTTTTTATGACTTTGTCCCTTTGTTTTCTTTTCGGTTGTGGTCACATGAATGATGACCGCCTCGCTGTTTACTACTAGCATTAGTTTAAGAATAATGAACAAGATGAAATGGAGAGAAAGTGTTATTCCTCGTTCTAAAATATAAGTCGTTGGAAAGATTTTTTACAAAATTTAAAAAAATTTTAAATATTTTTGTTAAAAAAATACTAAATTACCAATATTTACTGGATAATTTCAATTTTAATATTAGTTCCAATACAATTTTACTTTCAACACAACTATAATTTTTCATGTAAAAATAATTTTAAAAAGACTTGACAAAATGTGCCTCGTTTTGTGAAAGACATATATTTGAAAAATTTAGTGTTTTTCTAAAACAACATATATTTTTAAATAAAAGGAATATACACATAGGTCCAAATGATATATTCAATCAAAAATTAAATAATGCAATAATTCCTTTAAACAGTATCATGTAACAATTTAAATTAGTGATTAAATCATTCAATCACATTTTTATTTGGAATAAGTAAATATAGAATATGCATGCGCTGCAAGTACTTTTCTTTGTAAAATAGTAAACATAATTGGACGGACTTGTAATTCTTGGTTAAAAAAGACATTAATCTACACATAAGTAAAAGCCTCTTGTGAGTTTAGAATCTTGAACGTCATTGGTCAGAAATTAAATTGAGCATTCTGATTTGTCCATTAGTTTACATAACATCATAAATTTTAAATTGACCCATTTGATTGGTTAATATATTAACATGACATCAGAAATTTAAAACAAGGCTATAATAGTCAATTAATAAAGTTATTTTTTTTTTTACCAACTAAATATGTCATTAGCCGAGAGAAATAACCTAATTAATGTGTCGGGCTAAACGACAGCGTTTACTACCCGATATTAATAATTAAAATGTCATTTTTTGTACCCATTTTTATTGCCAATTTTTTTCGGCGGCTCTCCATCCCTTCTTTCCCCCACAAATCTTCCCCCCACCCTAAAATCTTCTGATTTTCTTCTATATTTCGTGTGCCTCTAGAAAATAGGTTAAGTTATCTTAAGTTTGAATTATTAAAGATTGAGAGTCTGTTTTAACCAAAGTAAGGAAAATTTTCATCTCTGTTTTTTCCCTTTCATGGAGATTAATTATTCTAAATTATGTGCTAAAGTCTATATAACTACATTGAAGCAAAATTTGGTATATTAATTATATGTGAACATTCTTCTTTTAGTGTGTTTATGTTTATTCCATTATCTTAAAATTCCGTATTTAGTACATACTACAGGTGCAAATGATCTTCAAAATACTCAAATACTGAATGTTGTGCGACGAGAAAAGTTCTAGTAAATTAATAAAAGGTTGTAACTAATTTTGATCGTATGGTTTCATTTTATAGTTTGAGAGTGATATAGTCCTACTTTATAGGAGTATTACTTTTTTGGGGATTTGAAATACTACTTAGAATTACCTCATTGTTCAATACTTCAATTTCTTGTTTCATTTGAATTATTTTGTTAATCTTACCCCACCTGTAATATTTAAACTGATTCAATTTAGTTCCAACAGTTGTCATTGTCTTATACTTCTTCTATCTCAAAAAGAACGTTCCACGTTAAATTTTAGAATTTATATTAAAAACAATACAAATCTCAAAATTTAATATAGATTTTTTTTTAGACCGAGCTAGTATTTTTTTTTTACTATCTTCAATTTTAAAATCAGGTTGTTTGGGCACCAAATTATAGTTATTAAAGCACCTCAAAATTGGTGGAATATTATACTAAATTTTTGTTGACAAAATTAAGTTTTTGATTTCAAGTTAAAGACCAACTAACTGGTTTAGTAAAATGTATGGTATAAAGATATATATGAAAAAAATACTCCCTCCATTCCAAAATAAGTGTCGTTTTAGCAAAATGAAGAAATTCCAAAATAAGTGTCGTTCTCACATTTCAATGCACTTTTTGTCAAAAGTTTCCAAAATTACCCTCAAAAGAGTTGATGCTATTGATGGACAATTTTATAATGGGGTTGGTTGAGGAAATTAAAGTAATTTTATTATCCTATTTAAGAGTTTCTTAAACTATGTGTAAAGTGTAAGACGACACTTATTTTGGAATGGAGGGAGTATTAAGTACAATCGTATTTTAATTTTTAATGTAGTAAGTACTAGCATTAAAATTACCCTAATATTACTTTCTCTCTAAAATATTTTATTTTATTTATTGTATCCGGCAACACAAATTTGGATAGTACAACACATGTATACTATTTTTTTTCATTTTCTTTTATTAATTTCCTCTTTAAAAAAATTTCAGTTTTTTTTTTCTCTTTTAACCCTCTCATCTTCTCTATCATTATATTCAATTAGTAATTTTCATCAAAAAACTGATTCTATCTTCCATCTTCTCATCTTTTCATCTTCATCTTCTCACCTTTCCATCTTCTCCACTATTATTTTTAAATAATTATGTTCATTATATCTAACCTTTTCATTTCATTTTTTATATAAGCATAAAAATACAGGAGCCCATCCACCTTTTTGCTTTTCTTGCCCTTTTAAACAATTTACCTATGAATTTCTACAAAGATAGTTATGATGCATAAGAGGATCGAATGGGGCACTAAATTGTTTTTTATGCAAATCTCTCTTCCAAACGGAATATTACTCTTCTTTTCACTTTTGAATAGTACATTACGTTTCTTATTATATTATAATTTTTCTGAAACTAATATTGTATTTTATGTTTCCTCATTTTTCTCTTATGCATTTACTCAAAACTAATTTAAAAGTATTTTAAATAATAGAAAATGCGCTCCACAGCCGATATTTAAAATTTATAAGTCTGAATTAAATTTTTTTAAAGAAAGTTATAGATATGAAGATTTTTGTGAATATTCTAAATTGCTTTCTAACATTTCTCAACTTTTCGTTTTATATATATATATATATATTTATTTATTTATTTATTTATTTATACAGTAGTATTGAATTAGTTAACATTGTATAACTTTTTTTTCCCTTTTTCAAAGAATATAAAAACCCCATGTATTAAAAAGTTTTGTATGTATGTCAAGAATGATGCTATGTTATCGCGTAAATTTTTTTGTTCATGCATTTTAGTAAGAATTGTATTTATGATAATTAATTAGAGGAGCTTCGAGAGGAAAAAAGAGATTTGAGAGGAGGGAAAAAAAATCAAGGCCTACTTAATTTCAGGCTGAAAGTTTCAGCTATCCAGCAACAGTATATAGTTTATTTTCTTGACAAGATGTATTATGTGGTCGATTCATCTTGTTCTCTAATTAATTGTTCTTTGGAATTTTCGATCCTCTATGTAACATTTTTAGAAATATTTTTTGTTTGGAATTTCTCCAAAAGGTTAAGTAAGACTCCGATTATGGGGGTGAAAAAAGTATAGTTATACTAATTAACAATATATTGTAAAATTAATTAGTCCAAAGTTCTCAACAAATCAACGCATTTAGAAAAAAAAATAGGCTTCGAATTTTTGAATGACAACTCCTTCAAATCAAACTAAATAATGGAAAAGAATTAAACAGATAGTGTAGAAAAGTTAATAGTCTGTTTTAATGGAGGGCTGGAATTAGCCGACAAATGCCGCCACGCATTTGACAGAGCTGTCGGGGGTGGTGGTGTCGACTGTGGTACTGCGGAGTGCTCTCTCTTTTTCTGACTCGAGCTTCGCGTGCTGGAGATTTTGGACATTTTACCTCGAGAGTTGTCTACTCTATTTTAATCACCGTTAAATGTTCGCCGATCATCGTAATTAAATCAAAATTAATTCTCTCTTGGTAGTAAAATTTTCTTTCAATTTTGATTTTTACTTTTATAAATGTACTAAAAATCAAAATCAAAACTGGACAATTATTTTGAGACGGAAAAAATATATCTCCCTTTCTCATCTACAGTATGGGTTGGATAAATCTATAAATGTTGTTTAAGTGATTGTCTAAAACGTGCATACGTAACTTTTTGTTTGACCATAAAGAATTATTAGAAGTTGCAACTATTATTAGAAATTGAATAAGACATACTAACCGAAACCGAATCAAACACACAGAGAACCGAATCAAATAGAAGATGGATAAATCTATCAAATGTTGTTTAAGTGATTGTCTAAAGCTTGCATCGTAACTTTTTGTTTGAATAAAGAATTCTTAGAAGTTGCAGCTATTTACAGAAATTAAATAAGATCTATTAACCGAAATCGAATCAAAATCACCGAGAAACGAATCAAATAGACAGACTAAAACATGAGATAGTTTATTGAGTCCTTATCATGAGCTATTTATACAAGAGAAAAGTCTTATGCTAAATCAAAACAAATCATGATATTAAGTTTTGGATCAAATCAATTCAATCTAATATATTAATCATATCCCTACAATTACGCTTAACACCCCTACTCAAAGTCAAGCTGCTAAAAAACTTGAGTTTGCTTAAAGGTAGAGCATGAAGGAAATTGGTCGAACAATGGCGGACAAAAGACCGGGCAGGAAAGACCAGTAGAGGTGGACAATGACGGACGACATAACTCCAACAACAGAACTCCGAGCAAATAGGCATAGAGACAGTGACAGAACACCGGACAGGAGACAGATGGTGTCAGAAAAAACACCTAGATTAATGAGACGAAATATGGTTACTAAACACCCAGAACTCGAATAGTGACATAACACCCATATTATAGAACCGAGATGATGACCAGAAACACAACAGAAAAAAAATGATGATTAGAATAGAACACTAAAAAGTACTCCCTCTGTCCCAAAATTATTGTCCAATTTGAATTCTCACTTTTAGTACAATTTGAACTATAAATAAAAACTCAAACTGAACAATAATTATGGGACGGAGAGAGTAAAAGTTATAAAATCAAAGACACATATCAGGCTTCGGGCCATATCAAAGGTACAGATAACCTGGTTGGTGTCAAACCACTCTCAAAAGCACAAGATCTCACCCACAATAGAATCAGCAATGGAAAGGGGGCA